TTATTAAAATATGTTTATTTACAAATTATTTGTTTTGAGATGTAATTGAGTAACTCAAATTTTAAATTTAAATTTTATAATTAAAAATTGTGTTAATCGAAGTAAAATACGAAAATCAAATACAATGCTACATACTATTTTTTGTTTAAGATAAAAGAGAAATATAATTGAAAATTAGTTTGACTAGTAAAATAATTTTTTTTTCTAAATGTATATAAAAATAAGAATTTATACAAATTGAGTAGTTCTAAAATAATTGAGGCATCTATAATATAAACATGACAGATTTTAATAAGCTCATTCGACGATTTCAAATAGACTTATATAATGGTTATTAACATCTCTCTTAAAACCATTCAAATTAAATTTCCCTCCTTAAATTTATCACTTCTCACTTACATTGCATCATACCTTCAAGCACAGGTTATTCCTAGTTGCTAGATATCATAGAGAAAAAGAGCTATTTTTAAATAAAAAAAATAGGTAATGTACTATTTCTATTCACTATTTTATAGTCATCTTGTACTTTGTAAACAAAGTTATTAAAAAATGACCTTAAATTTAATTTATGCAAATCTAAAATTATTATTCGTATCTATTATACGATAGACAATTAATTTTAATAATAAGACTGCAAAATAATAACATATATAATATAAAAATCGGGTGAGATAAAAAAATAAGTTAAATTTTAGAGCCCTAAATTTTTTTGAAAGGAATTCTAAAATTTTTACAATAATACTAGTTGCACTTAATTTGAGGTCCAAGTACATTAAATAAATAGTGAATTTTGTTTAAAATTAATAATTATTATTAATTCAATGATTAAAATATATTGAGTATTTAAATTATATTCTAAAATTTTAATTATATATAATTGTTTATTTTATTTTGATGTCCCAAATTTTTCTTCTAATTCGAGTGCCCGAGGCAATGACCTAAAGGTTGGGCCAACACTACCAACAGCCGCCCAAAAGAGAACTGCAATGATCTTAAATTGAAATCTTACAATAAAAAATAGAATTTCCATAAAAATATCGTAGATGTAATATCAGTGATTTGAGCCCCGGTGAAGAAACAAAACTTGTACCTTTCTTCTAGACAGAGACCCATGTTATAAACTGTAAGTAGGATTTATTATATAAAAGTCGTTCTTCTCCAATACTAGATGGATGATCTATCATTGAAAAATTAACAGTAATCTAGATTCAATTTCAAAGGTTCAAATGAAACATTTCAGCCTCAGACAATGAAAATGGGTATGTTGTGACAGCAAAGGGCCACACACAGAAAAGAGAAAAAGCTGTGGTTGAATTGCAGTTTCTGGGGTTTTGACATCTCTCTCTTTGAGGGGAGAGAGAGAGAGAGAGAGAGACCAAGAAAGTCTACATACAAACAAGGCTTCTCTTTCCCCCCAAAAGGAAAATACACTTTATGTCTCTTTCCTCCAATCACATGGTAACAGGGTTAGGGGGTGGCTTGCCTTGAATCCAACGGCGGAGTTCATTTGAGTACTGGAGGTACTCAAGAACAAATCCAATTTGGTCTATAAACAATGATGATTTGCTAATGCATGTGAGCTCTAGGTTGGTCCATCTGCATTAGGGTGTGGCCCACTTCTACTCTGTTTAGCAGCCAAAATATGATCAATTGTATATCATCATGGCTGCTTGATTCCAGCATTCATGCTACGTGCTACTTTTTGGAAGGAAGTGACCTTAGGCATATACCTAAATTTTTTTATTTATTTTTTTTTACGGACGAACATATACATACATCAACTAATCTTTTCTTTAATTCGATCGAAAATAAACCATTTACACCAAAATTAAATAAACAAGTTAGGAGGATTATGGGGACCTACCATGTTATAGTTTAGTATTAGATGATTTCGATTTTGTACGATTCGGTCTAATAGTATTCTGACTCAATAATTTTTGCTCCAATACAATTCCACATTATGTATAAACCCCAAATCTCACCCGCCTCAGCAGAATCATTCGATGCAACCCTAATCTTACGAGACATTGTTATCGAATCAACTGAGATTTTATCGCGACTTCACAATATTATTTAAATCTCATGTCGTGTTTATTGATTCTCTCTATCATTTCGTGCATATCATTCAAATACAACTCTTATGACGCCAGATTCGATGCATCTCAAGTACCCTTTGATGGATGACCATAATCCATAATGCTACCTCGAACCATGCACAACATTAAGATGCAATGAACGACGAGCTGCCCCAGCAGGAAAAGGGATTAAAGAACAAGTTATTTGAGTGAAGGCTACAATCTACAGTTGATATACATAACTTTGTCCTCTGCCATTTTCTGAAGGGTTGTTTTTGCAAAGAAAACAAGAAATTTCAGAGAAGCTTCAAAGGAATAACTTAAAAGAGAAAAAGTATTGGAGTTGGATCCTCGACGTTTAAGATAATTATCATTGTAACTATCAAGTTCAATGGGGAAGAAATACAAAAGCGAGGAACAATTCTGAGAAAATGACACGAGAGGTGTGAAACTTTACAGCTTGTTTATACAGTTTCTTTAAAGGGATATCACAAGACATATGGCCACAAAAGTATCAGAATTTTTCTTTACCTTGCATCAAATGCATTTTGGTAGTGTACCTAACACCCCCGGCCCCCCGGGGGGGGGGGGGGGGGGGGGGGAGGAAGTGGGTGCTAGGCATGTGACTATGACCCACACGATTACACATATCTAATCTAACACTGGACCTTTACACCCTTCCCCACTCTTTTACGGTTCCCTTTCTTCCCCATATATCTACGCCAATGCTTCCTCTATCCTTTTTCTTTCTTTTCGCAAAGTCGCATGAACATATGGTCCCCTGTTACAAAACCCGAAAATCATGACCGTCTATTACTGGGTCCATTACTAGAAGTGCTATATCTGAAAGTCCATAATAGGCTATAGCATGGTGTCCAGAGCTCAAGGACATGTACAAGTCAAGCTAACTTGAGCTTGTTGATCACTGTTCTCATCTATCTATTATCATCAGGAATGGCCAGGACCCACCAACTATCACCTGTCTTAAGAAAGGGCCCAGCCAGCTCAATACTCAAAACACTTTTATTACTAGTATCAATTCCCATCATCTGCTAGAATGCATGGGAAAAAAGAAAAACAAAAAACCTTAAACATCCCAAACCTTGATCATTCTATTTTCATCTTTTATTGTACTAACCAACCCCCTATAAATCAACAATTTCTAACAATTAAGCATTCAACATCACCATCTAAAGAGCCCATAGATTCCCATTCTTAGGATCCATTAAATGAACCTCAGAAATAAAGAATAACGAAAATGTTATTTGAACCTAATTTAGGAACCTCTCGGGACATAATCCAATGCAACTATTGGATTGAAAGTTGGTTCCATCTAATATGGAAACTTACAATTAATTCATTGGCTGAATTGAATTAGGTCCCCAAATTAGATCCCTATAGTAGTGCTCAAAGAATAATAGACATGTATTCACATAGTTTCATCACAACAAGAAGACCAAATCCAATTCAGAAAGCATACCAAATCAAATAAGCACTTTCTAATTAGAGCTTGGCCATTACAAAGAAGACAAACAGTCTGGGATTTACATTATCAAACAAAGATTCTAAAAAATTTTAAAAAAACAAAAGAGGACACAACAAGCATCACTCTCTTGTAGCTTCAGAGTCAACCAATTTGCGACTAACAAAAGAAGAGGAAAACAAGGATACTCCACAAAAACCGCATCCATGGTGTTGTCATATAATTTTCAATAAATAATTTTTACGTTTCAGAATAATATAGAATAAGCCAGAACCTTGGGTATACCAGGTGTGGGATTTGTTCGTTTCTTGCACAGGACAGTAGTTTCAACTTTGACAGTTAGAAAAATCCAAACGACCTCCTGCGTAAAATCACAAGACAACCAATGTCAGCACAAATAAAAATTGAACAAAATGAATAAATTTTCATGAGCATCATGTGACATCTACTCCATGTCACAATCTATCAATGTTATACCTACCCAAAGAGGCATTCAATAACTTCAGGAAGTAGAGATAACAATTCCATCAATGCCAAGCTGAGAGGTTGGACTAATAGCAATACTACATTAATTGAAACATAACCAGTCCCCCAAAAATCATACACTAGGATGATCCAGCGGTAGGGTAGCTGATCAAGTTGTTCTATAGATAACAATTTTTGGAGCAACAATGTCATAGTTGGAACTTTCACTCTACACACTGAACTTACTTCAACCATGAACCACCTACTTGTTTCTTACCTCTAGGGTAGGCTGTAGATCACTAAAATGAGAAACCCCCCCCCCCCCCCCCCCCAAAAAAAAAAAAAAAAAAAAAAAAAACAACAATACTTGATGAACAATCTATTATTGATGGTATTGAGAGAAATATGAATGGGGTACAAATCCTCATCTGCCAGTAAATATGAATTATGATAGGCACCTCTATTAACGGGTGAGACTCGATCCCAAATTGTACTTCGGACCATCAAATCCACTTCACTCTTGTTCAGTAGAATCCGGTCAGTCTAGTTTAAAAGTTATTTTAGGCAACAAGTAAATGCTAGGTCTGATAAAAAATTTCCATTCCATCACCAAAATATAGAAATCATGGTTGGTGGGTCCTTCACAAAAGATCAAATAAAAAAAAACCCAGATAAATTTGATTAATTAAGCATTTTCCAAGAAAAAAGTTCCGTAATTAAAATTAATTGGGGTATACATGAAATGATTTGTTCCAATCTATTTTTGGGTAAAGAAAGTCAGGTGATGGGGCCATGTCTATAATACAAGGGCAATATTGTCTTTCCAACAAGAACACAGGCGTAATTAATAAAAAAGTTACTCCACGAGCCAACCACATGATAATTAATTAGTAAATAAACAATTCAGATTATTATTTTATTTTGTTTTGCCAGATAATTAATTACCTTTCGTTGGCGGGGGTTAGTTACTTTGCAGTTTATTCCCTCCAAGTCCTGCTGAAAATACTTTTCAGCCTATTCCCGGAAAGTCTCTGTAAAGCCTTCTTAGCTCCGGCGACCTCCCTTTCCGTCAACCTCTGCAAATACCCATAAGCCCCGGCGGCCACTAACTTCTTCCGGCACCCCTGACTCCCACCACCCATTACCGCCGATACCACCGCCAACGGAAACTTTTTGGAAACCAATTCATTCCTAGGATCAAGCATCTGAACCAATCTCATCAGACTCTTCTCATCTCTCACCAAATCTTTCCGATTGGATCTCACCGCAACAGCGAAACCAATGCATTCGCAACCACCTCCTGAATGCCATCAGGCTTGACTGATTCCATTAGCTTCAGTAATGAACCCATACATCCAGAAATAGCCCTTTGTTGCCATCACTCATCGATAAATTAGCGAGCAACGAAGCAGAAATATGCTGTAAAACTATGTTTCCTTGCTTTATAATCTCTGCTAATTGTATTATAAACGAAGTTGAAGATGAATAAACCCGAGAAGCTGATTCGGAAGCTGAAAGTGAATAGATAGCTCGCAGAACGTGTTCTACCGTATCTGAATTCGACGACTCATGAAGCAATTGCAATAGTCTTTGCAATCCCTTATCTTGTAGCAATATTAATTCTCGAAAATTCTCACCGGAGGAAGCAAGAATTGCAATACAATTTGCCGATTTTTCTTGAGTCAAGGCGGTGCCTGAATTAAGCAATTGGACTAAAACAGGAATAGCCCCTTCTTCCGCCAAAGAAACCCTAATATCTTCAACGGTTGATACATTTCTGATTGCCCCAACCGCATGTGATTGTGCTGCAATTGATCCGGACTTACACACTTCGATGAGTATAGAAACTCCGCCGTAGGCTGAGATAGCCCAAGCATTATCAGAATCGGCGGTGATGGCTTCGACGGCCATGGCTGCTTTTTCCTTCAATCCCATTGAACCTGACTCGATGATTCTCAATAACGGTCCCAATCCTCCCTCTTCAAACACGCATTTTCTGGACAGATCGTTAGCGGAAACTAAAATCGATACGGCTGAAACGGCATGTTCTACTAGTGAAGGATGGGTATTCAGATCAAGAAGATGAACCAAATAACCAACATTGCCTTCCCTAGCCACTAAACTGGCCGATTTTTCATCATCAGAGAGAAGTTGAAGCAGAGACTCCATGGCCTTTTTCTTGAACTCAATGCCTCCGATCTGTAATCTTGTGAAGAGGTCCTTAATATAGAACCCCAGATCTTCTTTAGCCGAGCCTGGACCGGGTTGAGAGAGCACGATGGCATTGGATTGACGGAGGACGCCGGACCGGAGGAGCAAATCGAGGTCCTGAATTTGCTTAGAGAGCCAGCCGGTGGCCATGTCGAGGTCAGACTGCATGAGGAGCTTGCCGGGGTTGAAGGAGGGGTCGGAACATTGGTCACAGAGGGTCTGGACGCGGTGGAGCGTGGAGAGGAGGTTGGGGAGGAGGGTTTGGAGAAGAGGGTTTTCGGACCAGTGGGGAGAGTCGGAGATTTCGGAGATGGAGGATTTGAGAGTGGCGAGCTTTGACCGGATGATTTGCCAGCGGGTAGAGAATGATTTGACGGAGAGTGAGTAGGGGAGTAGATGGCAGAGAAGTGTGGTAATTTCGTCAAGGGTTTGGGTTGTGGTCGGTGGTGGTGGTGGGTTTGGTGGCGGTGGTGAGACCGTGGCGGGATGCATTGGGAATTGGAGGTGGAATTTCAACACCCGGATTAGGACCGGGATGAGTTCAGATTCAGCATAGATATTTGAAGGGGGAGAGAGAGAGAGAGAGGTCTGACGGAAGAATAGAGAAAAAGCAAAGCAACCGAGAGTGTTGTGGAGTAGATTCCAGTTAAGAGAGAGAGAGAGAGAGACGT